CAACTCTGGGCGCAATGACGCGCTTATCTCGGCCCATAATTCCTGGCACATTATTTGACTGTGCGCAAAATCGCCAGCGCTCTGTCCTTCTGGTGAGTTGCGATGATGAACGTGGGTGTGATGAACGCTGGTGTGAATGAACGCATGTATGAAGACGGCGAGTATTAGGATAACTACGCGAAGATAATCGAATTCCCTATACTAGAGCTACGCGAAGATAACGAGTCAGTCGAATTCCCTACACTAGAGGCAACATTAAAATAATAAGTCAGTTTAATTCATCACATGAGAATCCGATCAGCTCTCACTACTGCGTCGCTCAATAGAAACATTCAGTCGAGAAATTTCTCAGCGAAGACAGCAAATATGGAAAATCTATTATATTATTGCTGGCAAAAGATCTATTATCTTATACATGTTAAAATATCTATTATATTATGCATGGTAAAATATCTATTATATTATGCATTGCGTAATATAATAGTAATAGTTAGTTAGAGTTATAATAGTTATATAGTTAATATAGTTAGAGATATATTATAATATAGTTAGATTTATAATAGTTAATAGTTAAGTTAAAATGAGGGCAACCAAGGCCTGGAGAAATAAATCAGGCGTCACAAGTCGATAATCTGCCGGAGTGCACTAAAGCCGGAAGCGAGGGTGTTTACCTCTCATTATCTTCACTCTCTTTCCTCTTCACCTCCCGTCACCCTCACATTTACCTCTCGTCACACTCACTCTCTTCTCTTTCTCTTTCCCTCTCGTCACCCTCACTCTCTTCCCTAATTCTTCACCTCTCGTCAACTTCACTCTCTTCCCTAATTCTTCACCTCTCGTCAACTTCACTCTTTTCCCTAATTCTTTACCTCTCGTCAACTTCACTCTCTTCCCTAATTCTTTACCTCTCGTCAACTTCACTATTTTCCCTAATTCTTTACCTCTCGTTATCCTCACTATCTTTCATAATTCTTTACCTCTCGTCAACCTCACTCTTCCCTATATATATAATTCTTTCCCTCTCGTCATCCTCACTCTCCATCCCTCATTACCCTCACTCTCTTCCCTCACTCTCTACCCCTCATTACCCGCACTCTACCTCACATTGCCCTCTCCTTCTCCTTACCTTGTAACCCTCATTACCCTCACTCTCTGCCCTCGTTAATGTCCTCTAATGACTGTCGGTAGCCAGCCACTCTTCCTCGATCGCTTTCACGCTCACTTTTTCTTACTCTCTGTAACCTATTTCCTAGCTCTCTTTCGCTCAATCTAAAATTACTGCTCTTAAATCACTTCTCTCATTTTCCCTCTCTTCTTCTCGTTCTCTCTCCCTCCCTCGTTGGCGCGACGACCTCCTAGCCACTTCACGTTCGAGTGAACGCGTGAGGTGCTAGAAAAAATTCCTGAGAAAGTCGGCTTCGTTTTTTGGCTACATGATGAGGTCGCGTTCACACAAGCCAAGAACTAATGGCCTGCCGTGTCACGCCGCTGCAAGACTTCGCGAAAAAGTTAAACGCTACATTTACAGACGACCTCGGCGTGCAGCTGAAAGATTATAAAAAGCGCCTAATATTCCCAATTTAATCGAAATATTAAGGAAATTGTCAATGAATCATCTTGAAGTGCAAGCGAAATCTGCTGTAGTAATAAATCAAGATTCCTTACCGACGACTGTCTTGGTTACATACCTAACACTCAAGTCTCTGAGAACTGACATATGCTATTTATCAGTACGTCATGCGTGCTATTCCTACCGGATAAGGCTTGACGCTGCACGAGTATCGTAGCATATTTACAATAATGGCATCCTCATTTGTATTGAGCGGCAGCACGCTGTTATGGATGTACTCTAAGGGAGTATTAACAAACATCTGTAAACACATCAGAGTGATTCCATGCATTTAGATATAACAGGCAGGAATATCGTGCCTACTTTGATAAAGAAAAATTCTTACAAAGGCAAATGGGGAAAGCTCCAACGCATTGAAGCCTCATTGAAGTTTTCCAACAATGCTTGGGGAACCAGTCTCACGAAATCCCGTAAAAACCATCTGTATGTAGACGAAGCACTGCGTAGAGACGCCGAACTGGATAAAGAGAAAATCTACGCATATAGAGCAGCAGCCGGAGCTGCGCGGCGTATGAAACGAGTCCAGCGCAGTCGAGTGGAAGAAACAGGAAGAAGATCTGGGAGATATACGCTGCCAGCGCCTCTTGAAATCTGGAACGGCGGCTCCCAGACTAGGAGATATACGCTGCCAGCGCCTCTTTAAATCTGGAACGGTGGCTCCCAGACTGGGAGATATACGCTGCCAGCGCCTCTTGAAATCTGGAACGACGGCTCCCAGACTGGGAGATATATGCTGCCAGCGCCTTTTGAAATCTGGAACGGCGGCTCCCAGACTGGGAGATATACGCTACCAGCGCCTCTTGAAATCTGGAACGGCGGCTCCCAGACTGGGAGACATACGCTGCCAGCGCCTCTTGAAATCTGGAACGACGGCTCCCAGACTGGGAGATATATGCTGCCAGCGCCTCTTGAAATCTGTAACGACGGCTCCCAGACTGGGAGATATATGCTGCCAGCGCCTCTTGAAATCTGGAACGGCGGCTCCCAGACTGGGAGACATACGCTGCCAACGCCTCTTGAAATCTGGAACGGCGGCTCCCAGACTGGGAGATATATGCTGACTGGGCCTCTTGAAATCTGGAACGGCGGCTCCCAGACTTTGAGATATACGCTGCCTTGGCCTCTAATTGTTGGCACTTTTTGGCGCAGAAAAAAGTTGTCCTAGTGTGGTAGATTCGTACGCTGCTGTAGCGAGGACATGTACGCTGACTCAGACACATTCAAAAGTTTCAAAAGAAACAAGACACATTCAAAAGTTTCGTGTTGGTTGAGTCAGCGTCGTCTACAAAAGAGAATGAAATTTAAATGTGTTTCTTAAAACAAATTTTGAGTTGAAGGTATATTATTCATCCAGCACTCTCTGACAACACTTGTGTGAGAAGTGATATCAATGTATTCTGAAAAAAATTTCCCAGTCAGTTGCTATATTTTGAATACTTTGATTTAATGCTGCAAACGACAGGTTGTTTGCGAAACCAGAAGCTTTGAATATTACAGTAAAAGCCATGACGAGTAATAATGTCCCATTTTTAACTCTAAATAGTTAGGAAAATAATTATGAAATAAGCTGCTTTAATTGCTTGAACAATAATTCGAACTTTCAATCGATTTAAAACTTACCTATGATCAAAACTACCGATTAAGCATGCAACAAAAAATGTAATAAAGTTATTATTGTTTAACAATAATTTTGAATTACTATTTAATTTATGTAAGTAATCAAATTTCAGTAATGAGCAGAGCAAAAACTTGTGAAGAGTTCAGATGCTGTGGGCCGCCTGAGGGTCGCTGTCCTTCACAGCCGAAGTTGGTTGATCAAAGAGGGCAAAGTTGGTGGGGTGAGACCAGCAAAGAGGGCAAAGTTAGTGGGGTGAGACCAGCAAAGAGGGCAAAGTTGGTGGGGTGAGACCAGCAAAGAGGGCAAAGTAGGTGGGGTGAGACCAGCAAAGAGGGCAAAGTTGGTGGGGTGAGGCCAGCAAAGAGGGCAAAGTTGGTGGGGTGAGGCCAGCAAAGAGGGCAAAGTTGGTGGGGTGAGGCCAGCAAAGAGGGCAAAGTAGGTGGGGTGAGACCAGCAAAGAGGGCAAAGTAGGTGGGGTGAGACCAGCAAAGAGGCAAAGTAGGTGGGGTGAGACCAGCAAAGAGGCAAAGTTGGTGGGGTGAGACCAGCAAAGAGGGCAAAGTAGGTGGGGTGAGACCAGCAAAGAGGCAAAGTAGGTGGGGTGAGACCAGCAAGGAGGACAGAGTCGGTGGGGTAAGGCCAGCAAAGAGGGCAAAGTTGGTGGGGTGAGGTCAGCAAAGAACACAAAGTTGGTGGGGTGAGGCCATCAAAGAGGGCAAAGTAGGTGGGGTGAGACCAGCAAAGAGAGCAAAGTTGGTGGGGTGAGGCCAGCAAAGAGGGTAAAGTTAGGGTGGACCACAGGCCCGCAGCTAAGGGCCTGTAGCATGAAACAGGAATTGTAGAAGCGGAGAACTCTGATAATGAATTCAAATTTTGGTAAATACGGCAGGATATTAGGAATAAATATAATAAATGGATGCAAATACCATGCTCTAGTTTTCAGTGTTCAGAAAGAACGCTAATTTTTTTTAGAAATTACTATTAGATAAAAATGTTATTTGAAGAAAATTAGGAAAATTTAAAGAAGCAAAAGATTTACTATATGCAGCTTAATTGGCCCTGATGTCTTCGCCTGCATGGAAGCAGACACCGCTTCATAATTTGTTAATATTTCGGTTCTGCTGAAAAATTGTCTTTCGTTTTGGATCGTAATTTTCATTTATATGTATACTAATCAAAACAAATAAAACAAAGAAAGGTGTAAAATGTAAATCTTGAAAGTAAATCGTACTAAAAATGAAAAATGAAGGAAATTTTTGAAAGGAATAAAGGAATGTCTAAGCATATACTGAACAACTTCGATCTCTATTTTTCTCAAGTACTAAATATGTAGGAAAATTATCTTTAATTTAAAAGCATTCAATTTTTTCGTGAAATACACGCACTTTTAACAAAACTTTATATAATAATTATTGTCGTTGAAAATCAATCATCAGTTCTGACGATTAAAATGATCGTAATTTCCACTAAATTTGAGTTCCTAGCATATGATCATTACCTTATATGTTGCCATCAATATAATATGTAAGACTGCTAACAGTTTCCCATCCGTTATATGTTGCAATCAAAATATATAAGAGAATTGACAGTTTCCACTCCGTTATCTGTTGCCATCAATATAAGAGGATTGACAGTTTCCACTCCGTTATCAGTTGCAATCAATATAAGAGGATTGACAGTTTCCACTCCGTTATCTGTTGCTATCAATATAAGAGATTGACAGTTTCCACTCCGTTATCAGTTGTCATCAATATGGCGCAGAAGGCTGTGTTGGCAGTGGGTGGGGAAGGGCAGAGACGGGCGTGTGAGGGGATCTAATTAGGTAATTTGTTGACTGCCTGCAAAAAGTTAACGTTCAAGAGAGGGGTGAGGGTAAACGAGGGGTGAGGGTAAACGAGGGGTTAGGGTAAACGAGGGGAGGCGGGCAAGAGATATTAGCAGTGCGTCTGTGGTTGACTTCAAGAAGACACGACTACATAGCCTTTCCCATAGTGTTGCTCTGTTGAAATTATATACGATGTTCAACAGCAATTCAATGAGGGATGAATACAGCCAGTAACACTAGCCCCTGATTCACTAGTAACCTAACAATCTTTGTCTCATTAGCCTAGTTTAGCTAGTATACACTCAGAAATAGGTATGGGTTGTCCAAATACTGACATACCTTCTGCACGCACTATATATACTGATACGTCCTTATTCCAGGAGCAAACTGTGTCATGATGACCCACTCAGGGCCAGAAATGCTTCGTTACGTGACTACGTCTCTTTCTTTTTTGCGTCTAGTCTCACTGATCTAGTCTCACTAGTCTTAATTAGCTGTTCTATATAGTCACACTGCGCTAGTTTCACTCAATACAACCGTGCACCAGGACGTACACGTGCACCAGGACGTACACGTGCACCAGGACGTACACGTGCACCAGGGCGTACACGTGCACCAGGACGTACACGTGCACAAGGACGTACACGTTCACCAGGAAGACGTACACGTGCACCAGGACGTACACGTGCACCAGGACGTACACGTGCACCAGGACGTACACGCGCACCAGGACGTACACGTGCACCAGGACGTACACGTGCACCAGGACGTACACGTGCACCAGGACGTACACGCGCACCAGGACGTACACGTGCACCAGGACGTGCACGTGCACCAGGACGTACACGTGCACCAGGGCGTAGCCACGTGCACCAGGACGTACACGTGCACCAGGACGTGCACGTGCACCAGGACGTACACGTGCACCAGGGCGTACACGTGCACCAGGAAGTAGCCACGCGCACGGAAGCGCCGAGGCCTAAAAGAAGCGCGAGTTGCGGGCTTCAGGCGCACCGTTACTGGTGCGTCTGGTGCGTCGCAGGTGCAAGGCACCAGCGCCGTCCTGTTGAATTTTGTGACGCTAACATCCACGTAATTTTTTTATATGCAAACGGCTTTGGTGTTCAAGTATGTTATTATAGGTGCATAACTGCATGATATTAAAAAGATTAATAGATTTCAGAACGCATCGTTACAACAGGGATATGAATAATAATTTTACCTTGGGCTTCCTTGCGCCTTTTGCCAAGTTTCGTAAACACGAACGTGTACAAGTACATGTACACGTACGTGTGCTACACGTTCGTGGCTTCACGCACATGTGGCGGTGGCAACATGGAAGCCATAAGAGGATTGATTTTATCGAGTCGCGTGTCGGCAGGTCAAGATGCTCTTAGTTGAGAGCTGCTATTATTATACCAAGCTTATGAAGACTTTCTAGGAACGGGTGCAAAATAGAGGTCAGTTTTTTGTTCTTATGTTGCTTTGCCTTTCTCTCCTCGATTAGACGTTTGGCTTTACGCTTTTAGATAATGATCGAGAAAGCAGGTTAATCCGGCGCTGCTCGGTAAAATCATACTCAAGGCATAATTGGAATGAATCATCATCTATTGGAATAAACTTTTAGGTCCGGGTGAAATACCGACACGAAGAGTTTCGTAAAAACGCGCTCAATAAATTAGAACGCAATTGAAAATACAGCTATTTACGGTAAACATATTCGACTTTAAACTTATAAAAGCCTTCAAAATTTTCCGCTTATTAGTCGTGGCTGAGGTCATTTTCTTGGTTGAACTGTAATGGTCTAAATATAGGCTCTCGGTCGAGAGCGAGGGCCGCGTTCTGCCGAGCGCTGAGGGCTCTCGACGTGAGGGAAGTGAGGGAAGCTCGCAGCGAGCGCGCGAGGGCGTTCACGAATTGCCGATGCAAATGGGACTTGTGAATCACGAGCGTCGGGAGAGGGTCGCGATGAATTGATTATCACGCATCTCCATACGCCTCGTCCACGTGGATTAAATGGCATTCAAATTGTGAGGGAGTGAGCACCTCTGGACCGCGGAACAAGGAAGTGCGCAAATACAAAGAAAACAAAAATTATAATAAAGATAAATTATGGCATGAAAACTGAGAGGAAACTTAAGCCAACATTCGGACACGAAAGAACATTTTGCTTTCGTCTTTATAGTAAGAATGTAAATTGAGCGAGGAATGTTTTTAGTAAAGCGGTTGAGTGGTAATGGGCTAGCTAGCTGCTCTGTTACGAAACTTAATTGAAGAAGGGGAATTTAAAAATACATCGCGTCGATCACAGACATCGAAGCATTTATCGGTTAGCTTCATGTCATATGCCTAGCAATGAACCACTAAATAAGGGGACAAAGAAGAGAAAAATAACAGCTTTATGACGAATATGCAAGATATACTGCATAACGCATATCCAAGATTTATATACTGCAAAACGCATTTCCAAGATATCATGTTAAACACATTCCAAGATATACGACTATACGTAGCCTTCATATTAGCTGCAGGGAGAAGATGGGGACGGCGACAGCAGGGCTTATATATAGATATCGGGTGTACTTTTCACGTGTCTACATACTGAAAATTATTGGGTAATATATTGTATAAATAGCGGAGCACGTTTTTTGGTACAGCAAGATGAAAAAGCACAATGAAATGTGTCAGAAGATCCACACAAATGAAAAATAACATCGATATTAAATTGGACAAAATTGTTACTAATTTTTCTGAGTATCATTTGTGGTTCAAACGCATGCAGTGTAACGGTTCGCGATGGTTCAAGTAAATTATTTATTTGAATAAGCAATTCAGGTAAAGTCTTAAGATGATTTGACATATTCTGCGCTGTTGTCAAATCGTGAATAAAAAAATATGGAATAATTTAGGAAAAATAAAAAATTTTCATTCTCAAATGCTCTGCGGTGGCAGCCAACAAAATAACTTCGATTTCCCCTTGAAATATAAACATTCACAAATTCACGAGGCTCTCTGATCACATTAATGAACCTTTACAGCCACATTTCCACATTTCCTTTTATTGATGAACCTTTACAGCCACAAGGATCATTCCCTTAAAATCCTAACATAACCTTAACCATAACCTTACATTATCTTAAAGTAATTTACATAACCTATAAAAAGTAATTCAAATTCCCTTGAAGACATTCACATTTCCTTACACGAGGCCACACTGGCCTTTGCAGTGCGGCTGTATATGTTCCAATTAAATAAAAAGTGCTCGTTAAATCGGCTGTGTAAGGATTTACTCAGCCGAGTTTGACTTTAAAAGCTTACTTGATAATGAACTTCAGAAAAAAAAATTTAGACATAATAATTAAGCGGCGATCGCGCATGCAAAGAAAGCTAGAATGCTTCGAAAGGTGGCATTTATTGAAAAATACCGTTAAATACCATGAAAAATGCCTCTTTTATGGTATAAGTAGCGCTGAAGTAAACTTTCAATAAGGATGGCTTAAACTGTCGTGACGTCAGAACGCGTAGACGCGAAGTAAACACGACGTAAAAGAATTAACGTCGGCAGGGGGGATAAGCTCGTCGACAGCGGGACCCGAAACTTGAGGATACTAGAGAAAAGGAATACATTTTATCAGCTTCAATAATGATTAAAAATGCATGCGATGTGATAATTTCAGGGATAGGGTACAAATCTATTGACACAAATTAAACCAACCTGAGGTTTTTAATGCCCAGTGTAAACACAATATGATGAAATGAATCAAGCATTTAATTTTATAAATTCTGAGGAAATCGGTTAGAGAGGATAGGGAAGTTGGACGGAAGAAGACAGCAAGGATAGCAAGAGGTTTTACTGCGAGATAAAAGAAGATCTAAGACTTAAATTATAAAATGATGATGACACATTCCATAACAGTACAGCCAACTGCCATCGCGATACTGCACGACCATATTTCTAGCAATTGATAGTATTTGAAATAGATTTATTATTCTCTGATAAAGATTTGATATAATTTATGAAGATTTGCTGTAACTTAATGTAGATTTGATACATACTCTGAAATATATTAGACAATAATTTTATGGAAATTTTATACAAAAAATTAATTTGCATGAAATGATGCAAATTATGGCATTCATATAAAACTGTGCCTAACTTCCCACAGGAGCAAAATAAGCATAGTACTACATTCGCACCAAATATAAGTAACAGAGAAAAAGGTTCATATGGGAAGTTTGAGAAATGATGACTGATGATCGATTATCATGATTCTGAAGGCTCTGATGATTATGATGATTAGCAGACGGCACAAAACTGTAGTACTAATGTACCACTGATAGAGCCGACCGCCGCTCGGAACTGTTTAAAAACATACAATGAAGTCTCGACTAATTTGCATACAACCTCTGATTTTGGTTTCCCTTTACACTCGCCCATCAAAAGAAGTTTGAAGTGCGCGTTAAATAAAGGCTGCTTATGAAATATTAGAGCTTTCTTGAAAAAAAAAATAAATCGTGATTAAAAATTTCACTCATAAAGCCTCTTAACATAACACTCACTCCAGAAGCATTCGTATGAATCGCTAACGACGTAAGTAAAGCGCTGGAGAATCGATCCCATTAGCAAAATAACATACGTCAATATACGACGCATGCACTTTATACGTATGTCGAGGTATACATGTGAAACGCACGTAGATAATCACCAATGACCTTACTCTCTCTTTCTCTCTCTTTCTCTCTGGCGAGTCAATGATAGCAAGCAAATTGCCTGTTATGAATGCACGATGACAACTCCATTGGGCAGGAGGCCGCTGCAGTGAGGGACGAGCGACCACTGCCGAGTACATCCGGGGAGACGAGGGGAACAGGAGGATGAGGGCTGTGACGTCCACACGAGGGTTTTAATATATACACAAAATCTGTGAGGTCCGTGCGAGGTCTCCAATGATCAACATAATTACACAAACTCCTATAGAAATGACTACAGACGAGATAAGTTTATCTCTGCACCTCATTTATCGACGGAAGCGTAACGATAATTGAAAATTTTACGCCCCAAATATCTCACCAATGAGCGAACGCACGAAAGTCTCCATGTGAACATATGAGACTCTGAGTTAAAATTGAACGATAAAATTTGTATCAGGTATTTCAGAGGACGCTGCGGAAGGAAAGGAAGGACAGCACATATGATGGAAGACATCCTTCTGATGTTGGTCGTCTCTCCTGCTCATTAGACTTCGTCTTGCTCGTCATTGCTGGTCCACCTCGTCCCTCTGTGCTCTGTACTCGTCAGCGTCGTCGCGCGTCGTATATATACGTTATACATTATACGTATATACGTACGTTATACGTATATATACGGTAACGGCTGGGTTGTGGTAGTCGTTGAATTTGTTAGCATTGCTGTCTAGTAAACGCAGTCGTAGTCATGTTGTAGTCATGTCGTATATCATGTCATAGTCATGTCGTAGTCATGTCGTAGTCATAGTCATGTCGTAGTCGTAGTCATGTCGTAGTCATGTCGTAGTCATAGTCATGTCGTAGTCGTAGTCATGTCGTAGTCATGCCGTAGTCATAGTCATGTCGTAGTCGTAGTCATGTCGTAGTCATGCCGTAGTCATAGTCATGTCGTAGTCGTAGTCATGTCGTAGTCATGCCGTAGTCATAGTCATGTCGTAGTCGTAGTCATGTCGTAGTCATGTCGTAGTCATGTCGTAGTCATGTCGTAGTCATGTCGTAGTCATGTCGTAGTCNATACAAGTGGTGCTGAGGGTGGTGCGTGGTGACGATGCAAGTGGTGCTGAGGGTGGTGCGTGGTGACGATGCAGGTGGTGCTGAGGGTGGTGCGTGGTGACGATGTATAAGTGGTGCTGAGGGTGGTGCGTGGTGACGATGCAAGTGGTGCTGAGGGTGGTGCGAGGTGACGACGAACGGTACTTAGAGTGGTAA